ATGCTTTGCGTGACCTATTGGTGGCAAGCTTTACGTAACTTTTCACTCGAAAACTTCTTAGCTCATCGCAGCAACGACATGTCTGAAAAAACGTGGCCGGACTGAAACGACGACTTCATGAACGCTGTAAAAAAATTACTAACATATGACGTTCGTTACTGTAAACCGATCCGTCGGCAAAGAGTGTCGACACCATCAAACTTTCATTGATAGTACCTACAGCCTATAGACACAGTTCGACGACGAACGGAGACAGACAGATAGATTCGCACTGACCTATATGTCGTTGTTTTTTGTGGCCTAATTGTTTACGATGTACTATTAATTCTGTTTATACGGTGCGAAATGAAACGAGTTCGTCGTTGACGGCACCGTCGCTTCGAGCCACAGACAGCTACAAGCTTCGCTTTAACTTAACTTAGCAGAGTTTCGGCGAAATAGTCCTGCTCTCGCTTCCTGGGCCTTCTACAATATCGCAACATAGTGTTATATTTAAAATATTGATCCTGATACTAGTTGTGCGAAACCTCTCGGGCGGTTAATAAATCCCAATCGTTTTCGCTCATAGCACACCTTCGCTACCGAAACAACATAACATAAGGCTGTGGGTACTGTGATCAGTCTTGCTGCGATCATGATGCGAATAAACCCCAAAAACTTGCGCTTACCATCGATAAGCCAAGATAAGGCAATACGAAGAATGTATTTTATTGTTGCGACGTGTTGGTCAGCTGCGATTTATGAGATGTCTGTCGTCGTCTTGCTCACCATGTAAACAATAGTTCGGTTTTTACGATATTAAATAATAACACACGGATAGAAAAACAGTCAGGGTCAATCCCAGGGACCAGAGAACACATCGCTGTCTAGAAATATCCGTGTTGAATCTATGCGTTTATTTATTAGATACATTTCAGGCTTGGTAGTCGATACTTCGCATGACATCTTCAATCTCTCCTGACGACCAGAGATGTATAAACGTACAACTGTCTATAGCGCGTACATCATAATTAATCAATTTGGTTCTTCTATAGGCGGCACATCGATAACTGCATGCCACGCACAAAAGACAAAGAAGTCGTCACTCAATAACTTCAATAACCTCGGTTCTCACATTACTCTCTACTAGTGGTCGGCTACCTTCGTGATTCGTCATCCCTTTGAACAATCGATCAAATAGGCAAACGAAGGTAAATGTTTTTATAGAAAAAAAAAAAAAAAAAAAGCACCCAATAACGTGGTCGTGTTCACGGAATCGCTTAACGGCTTAGCAATGCCCACCATTCACTACTGACCCTTGTTATTTTTGACCGAATATCAAATAATCGCACGGGAAAAGTTTGCTGGTTACTATGACTTCAATCCGATTAAAGTGAGACATGAAGGTGTTTTTTTTTTAAACTATTTGTTTTTGTTACGGCTGGTGTCACACCCTCCTCTGACCATCGCTCTCCAATTCAAACCCCGCTACCAAATGCGGTAAGAAGCCCTTTCGAATTCTGCCGGAAAAAGCGAAAACTGTTCTATGTAAAATCGTCTAGAAAATAGCATGATAATGGATGTCTTGACCTATCAACAGGTCGGTGGCACGTTAATATTCTCTGCTATCACAGTCGTGCCATACGTCACGCGAGCTAACGGGGCGATCGACTCGGTAGATATTTCGAGCACCAACTTTCACTCGCTCGGGAGAGGCAATATTTTTTCCTGGAGCATGGAGCGTTTCCGGATCTGAAATCTCTGGGTCTTTGATTGTGGAGTACCCGCGAATGCTACTACGGAAGCCATAAGTGCGCACACTTCGTAACCACACAACTCCCATACGGGTATGTAGCTTGCATCATCTGAAGGTTCTAGTATTCGTAAGCGTTTGCTCATCTAGATATTCTGTAATTTCATACACTATGTATATTTTTATATCAAGTTTAAGATCTCCATGAAATTATCTTGTCAGTAACAGTCACGCGCGTGCTGGTATTAGAGGTGAGCTTGCTGTAGACGTCTTCCATTCTCGTTTCGCGTCGGTTCTACGTCATTCCTACACCCTGTGAGACTTATTTGCTTCCTCATATTGTGAAACCAATGACCCCTTTTGATATAGGCCGTTTGACGGTTATCTAGTACGCGTTAGGTCGAGACCCTTCATTGGCAGGCAACGGGATTCGTATTCGCTCGCAGCTGTATGGCTTCTTGAGTTCTGTGATTCTTTTGAACCATATCGATTTACTCCCAAACGTCCATCAATGTAAATAGAGCTCTAGACCATTTCTCACGTCAAAATCTGTTTGTTCTGCCAAAAAAAAAAACTTGATTTTGCCTTGTGCGTCCTGCCTCTCAAGAGTGCTATATTTAAATATATTTAAAAAGTCAAACGTGGCGGGTTATCTTGATGCCGCCGGAAGCCATTTCTCAAAATTTCATAGATTTCTTCCGAGCATATTCTTGGTAGTTCTAGATATTATCGTCACCGGGTTATGTCACCGGGACTAGTATTATTTTTACTGGAATTTACTTTAGATATAAATAGATTGAAACAATATGTCGATAAATTAGCTGGGTATTAACCTAACTGTAAGCCCTATTCAAGATAACAAGAACAAATTATCTGCAGACAATAATCCTGTTTGTTATCTTGAGCTTCCTTATTTTGAGAGGCTTCTAAAATTGAATATTGACTATTTTCTGTGACCTTGTTACTTGTTCTTTTAAGTCTACCATATACAGTGCAGATAAGGCCGGCAACATCGAACGATCTTTCGAAATTCTTCAGTTTTTTTTTTTTAGATCTCTACTGCTCGTGATATACGATTAGGTTCTCTTCCGCATCGTCATAATCCAGGAGCAGAACACGCCGTATTTGTTTTTTTCAAATCTGTTGTGCACATTTCCTAAAACATCCTGTTCCTCCAACTATAATACTGTCAGTCTATAGAACAACTTTGCAGTTAACTTATGCGAGACAGTATATAATATTATGACGAATCGGCAGGTGGTAAGGTAAATTCCATCTTGGATGACTTTTCCTCAGCGAGAAAACACTCTATTTCATTCATTCTAGCTACGGTGATATTAAACAGGTACGTTTTATATGTACCCTTTCGAACCTCTCCTAGTTTTTTTTAGTACAGTTACTAGTATTGTATTTAGCATCGTTGTTTTCCGGCTGAGATTTAATACCTCAGTTGTTGCTTCGACCAGGGGTAGTTTCATATTTGCAGGAGGCACTTTGTACGATAGCTAAACTTCGGCATACAATAATTTAGTTCACGTATACACTTAAAAGAGGACGGCACTCTTCAACCTGGGAAAGCATAAACTATGGTTATGTCACCTTTTCTCGACGTTAAGTTGTCACGTTATTTTTATGTAAATGCTAGGAGTGCTTCTAGGGCCATAGTTAGATGCCGGATTCATTCTGGCCGTTGAAGGCCGTCGTAGTTTTTTTCATTTTTCAGCAATTTTATTTCAACCTGCTTTGCCCCCTACCTCACCTCTGTACACCGGTACAGCGGGCCAATTATAACGTTGTCACGTTCAGATTTCGACTTATTATCCGTAAAGTCATTCCTTACGTTAAGCGATTTCCAGATTTCGTGTTACCGTCTCAAGAGCCATTGGTCACTTGCAGTACAGTCCACAATCATATTCATTTTCTTTTTCTTCCAAAGATTTTGTGAGAATTCTGTGCCGTAGTACAACAATAAATTACAAAATAAATAAAAACAACAAATTCCTTATGTATGACTCTGCTTTCGTCTATAAAAAAAAAAGTAAGTGTTTTGACTTTAATTATTTTTATTGCCATTAAGCGTAGCCCCAGACGGTGTTATCTAGCACCGTTTTTTTTACATTCGCTAAACCATTCGCTGTTACACATATACACAGTCTGAGTAATCGCTCCGCCCTGTATTTTTCTTTCTCGGTTTTCTTTTTTTTTTTTTTATTTCGTATGTTGTAGGTAATTCTTAAGTATAAATAATTTTAGAATCTCTCCCTAGGAAGGATAGATGTGGATATTCTTCGAATGTAGCTATCGGCCCCCTTATTTTGTACTTTTTTTTTTTTTTTTTTAATTAAAATCGTTCAGTTAGTTTTGCGCTAACTTCGAGTGATGCATATCGACCTAGGTTTGTATGACTATTAAGGTACTCATGGCTAGCTGGTCATCACTTTTTGTGACGTATGCCGACGTATGTCCTATCCAGCTCGTACGGAAGACAAAAGCCCCATTGTCCCTACTTCGGTGACGTCGACTCTTAGCTTTCTGTGTTAATGGCCAACTATTGCCACTTAACGTTTGTTTGAATAACTGGAAGGTAAAGATCTCTGTGGAATGAACGGCCTGAATGCATTCGCAAACGTGTTCGTGCTTGCCGAAATCGAAAGGGATAGAACCGCTTAGTAATCCGTATTCTAATCCGACTATGTACTCAGTCTTTCTGTTAGGAGGTTTAGTTGATTGTGACAGTCTCTACCGGACCCAGTCAGAAACCAGTTACCTGTTTTTAGCGTAAGTACTAGATTACTCGGAACCTGCCTGGAAAGATTAAGTGTCAGTTCAAATCTGATAACTGGTGTTACTCGCTACAACTTCTAATAGTTACTGATTGACTCAACTGTATGTATGGAAAAGTATGCGTCACGTCCAAAAAGAACACCGTCTGAATAATATACGATAAAAGCCGTATTTTATACGACAGTCTTCGTATGACCAGGTGGTAACTTACCATCATAGATGGCTACTGGAATTTCTTTTACTGAATGCCGTAATCACACCGATCGTTCTTAAAGTCAGACTGTAAATTGCCCAGTTATGAAATATTTACAAACATTGTTCGAGGGTCGTACCGCTGTTTGCACTAAGTGTATGATTATTCACTGCTTGTTCCTTTTTTTGGGGGGTATACCCAAAAATAATTATACCATTTGTAAGTTTATAGCTTTCGAGTGAATTAATTTCGCAAGAACATTACTAATATCTTTATTATGAGCATATTATTGACATATATTTGCTACTAAATTTAAGCGGTAATAGACTATTGCAGAGATCACAACTTGTCTTATCCGTCACTTATAAGTTCACAGCAAAAATCGGTCAATCCAGCGGTAGCGATACTTATCACTTGGTGTTCACTATGTGCTTGACTGAATAGCGACTGTCAAACGATGGGTACCATTGTCGTTATACAATCTCCATCTGCAGGTTAAGTTCCCGCTCAGTTAAATAAAGCACGGCAACGAATTATCGACAAGACCATCGATTTCTCCCAGTGACGTCTTTTTTTTTGAGATGTTTTTTTGGCTCGCACAGAAGTATTCGAATTTTAATGATGATCTCTTTTGAAATAAATTGCCACTCTGCTACGTATGGTCGAGCCTTGTATGAATGGGGTAAAGATGGCTGCCAATGTAGATTGACATCGGCGATTACCAGCGATCATCGAGTGAATAATGAGAGGAAACTTTCATAGTTATCGTAATGTAGGTTGACAACATATAGCAATCGTCAACGCATGTCCTTTTCAGAATATAATTAAGTCATAAACAGCTTGCCACACGCAGATAAAATAATTCTAATAAATAAACGAAAACGACGGATAAATTAATCGTTTATCTGCCCCACACCCTAGTCTCCTCACAAAACGTAAATTTCCGTCTGTACAAAAAAAGCACTCGGAGACGCCAAGCCAATATTGCTACTGAGAACGCTGATAGTACGATGGAAAACCGACCGAAGTCCATAGATTTGCCTTAACACGCTTTACTCTACTGCTTTCACTGGCTTACTCTGGGGCTTGTTTTATACGATACATTCGGTAGTGTTTACCTACGCGACTGCTTTATGGAAATTTGTACCGTAAGCAACAGCGTACCGCAGCAGGTTAGGATACTGCCGTTAAGAGCTCTAGGTCGTTCATCATATTAAGGCCAAGCTGAGAAGGATACATCGCAGTATTGCTTAATGTATGCAGCATTATCTTTGTCTTATTCCATTTTTTCTCAAGCTGTTCGGGCTGGAATCAGCAAACGAAAGGTCACTGGCCTGTTAAACGGACACATAAAATAAAATACAGTCTAAGTGCTTTTGGTAGATGTACGAGGAGGAAAAAAGTAGCTAAGTCTAGATTTGAGCTGCAGAAACACGCCGCCTTTAATGAAGCAGATAGGTACCGCTACACACTCCTACGCAAAAGTCTAGCAGCTGTTATTCCTTAATTCTCTTCAAATATTTCGTTTGCTTTTTTTTTTTTTGCTTGTATCTGCTCATCATGATCTCTAAATTGTGGAAATTCATTGCACTCCTTATCGCTGGACCGGTATTTTATATGCTGGCCAAAGAACCATAGGAAATACACATCGCAATGTTTACTAGAGCTTATTTAGCTCCAAATATGTCAAGGATGAAAAATTATCGTTACATCAAATTACCAAAATATATTAGAAATTCTATTTTGGACATATAACGAAAAAGCTTAGAATATACTGAAAATTTCAAATAATATATTTCAAAATCGTAAAAAAGGTTTGTTGTTGTAAGATGTTTCAAAGCTTCATTTAAATTTCAAACAAAAAAAAGTTTATTAGTAGGGGTTGTAATGCCAAAAAAATAATGAAAACAGCAGACATAAGCGTTCCTTACTGCAGCTATTTCATTTACGTATAAAAAATGATATCGAATCCAGTAGTGAAATTGTTTGCGGTAAGTTCACTTACAAATAACAATTTCACCATAAGAGAAAATATAAAAAACAAATAGTTCAAAAATTCCTAAGCAAAAAAGAATGATGATGATGTCTAAGAATTGAGAAATGCCCATGCTTCCGCGTATGACAATGTTCTTATATGCTTAGGGATAAGCGTGCGAGAACCTCTTCTGAGTAAAATTATTACTTAAATCGATAGGTTCTGTGCTACCATTTTGTTCAGGAAATTAAGTTGAGATTTCAGAAAAAAAAAACAACCAGACCAAATCAGTTTCGATTGACGTTCGGCATGCGTCTCGTGGATTGCAGTACCTTTTAAATTCTAATATGTTAACAATGAAACTACCAGTAATTAGATGGAGGCAATATTTATCAGGCGCTTGCATTGCTAACTACTAAGTTGACACGCGTCGACTTCCCGATGCGAAGACAATGCTATTATGTCTGAATGTAGGTACTCACGACAAACAATGCGATTTTAAACTTGTGTGATTATAATTTTGTGGCAATGCTTGCGAGATGAATCATAAAAAAAGATTCCCAAACGTCGCATCGGGTTAACTTATTAGTTTTTTTTTATATAAAAAATTTTGCCATCTACAACAACAGTCAGTTATCATTTATCAAGTTCTCTAGACAAGCCAAAGCTGTCTATGGGTTCAGAGTTCACAGAGCTACCACTACAGAACTCACAGAAAAGCGAAGATAGTATCTCGCTGTTGCTCCTCGTCCTAGAGCAGTACCCATATTTTCCGAACAAATAAAGCTCTATCGTACGCCTGCTAAATATGCACCGCGATATTTAATTATCAGTTCACATGGGTCGTTCCAGATACTGTTAATAACTACATAATCGAAATTTGTCAAATTGGTAGCTATCTGAATTTGTAACCAGCTCCAGCAGTTAAAAACAAATAGAAACCACACACGTTTCACAATATGTTCTAGGTATTGATTTGCGCAATGACTTGAAAAATTCCATGTTTTAAGGGCCTTTTTACATCTAGTTATTCGCGTATTGATATAGGGCACGTTTATTATTTATCTATCAGCACGCTCCAAACGTGCACACGCCGATTGTATGCCAAGGGTCTAACTGGAACGGATATTGCATATGTACGTTACCTCTATACGGAAAGTTCTAATTTTATCTCAGCAGAAGTGAGAGGACCGTCCGATAAAATAATCTAGATCACAAGCAACATCAAAGTCGCCTTGAACCCGAGTCGTTGAAGTCCTTTGATCATCACTATACCTCGGTTGCTTGTCGATTTCTCGGAGAACACCGGACGTCAGACTGCAGGTAGTCTTGCTAGGAGCATCCAAGATGAAGTCGGGTGGGTCTGCTGCCCAAGACCTGTAACCACCTCGGATGTAATCAGAGGTGAGACTGGAAACCTCCGATGAGGAACTATAGTTTTCTTCGGAATAACTACTGCTAGTGAAATTCTCGACGCATTGGCCATATCTTACTAAGGAAGAATTATAGCGAGCGCAAATCGGTATGACTGGAAAATCATAGCATCTTCGAGACGGTACAAGAACGTAACCATTGTAAGAATCTGTGTCTGCCAGGACCTCAAGGTCGTCATCCCACGACATGTCCTTCCTGCCGGAGACTAACATAACAAACGAATAATTCTGGTTTTACTACTTGTAGTGGTCCACTACATGACACAACTGACTCGCACTCTAATATTCACAATTTATCCCGTCGTTTTTATCGAAAATCGACAACGCGATACAAATCGATTTAAGATCTGGCGAGCGCTTTTTGCAGAAACGTATCTATTGCCCGAGAAGCTCGAACCTGTTCCGATTAAAACGCATTACAAACACTTCTCGACTTAAGCATATTTGTGCAGTTACGTATAGTTTGAATGTATTTTGACTCTTAGTAGATTAGAGACTAAATCCAAATAGGTATAGAAGTGATTAAATCGTGGATAGATATATCGGCAATCGGATGGAAACGCTTTTATATGATTTAGAAAAAAAATGAACCTTAGTCCCAACGTGATACCTTTAGGCGGTGTCCACCTGTTGAGTAATTTACAGGACAAATTCGGCTGACACAGGCTCAAAAACAAGCCTTTCGTGATATACCGCGGACTGTTTGGGACTTCGTTATTGCTACAATAAGCGAAATTAATTTTTCTAAAAATTTCTAACCAATTAAAGCTATGAACAATGAGCTAAGCACTAATATATTTTATGGAAAAGGAAAAATGCTATATAATTACATGTTATAGTAAAGTGTATGTGACAGGCTAAAGCAGTCATTACCGGGACTTCGCATTAACTGCCGCTGATGTACCATATCGAATTCGAACCATAACCCAAAAACGAAAACCTCATATTATTATGCATACATTTAAAAAAGTATATCTAAAAATTTGCGGTGTAAAATAACAATTTAATAACAATCTACTTCAACTTTAAAAATCATATCATCTCCGAGCAAGGGTGTAAGAAATTTATATTAGCGTAGATTTTGTATACAGCAATACGTATGTACCAATAGCCCATTCAGGAGTCAGTCTGAATTAAGTAATTGCTTTTAACTAATACCTTGCTCTGAGGCAAGGGGTGCGGATACTTCGTTGCTTTGGAATAAAAAAATATTCCTGCGACTCTCGCGCATTGTTACTTTTATGCAATTGTATTTTACTATACCCTTATAGAATACTGAGCCCTATAACATATCATATATGCACATAAACATGTTACGATGTTTTAGAAGTCAATAAAAATTTTTCTCGTGAGCTGATTGATAAAGATCAATATGTCTTGTTCAATGCAGGGTGTCCCAAAAAGTTGTGATTAAATTGGGTTACTGTTAACTTACTAGCACCATTGCAAACTACTCGGAAGCTCAAAACGGGTTTTGATGACACAGCTGCATTGCTGTATCGTGGTATAAGGGCATATCTGAATGAAAATCCTCCAAACAGATGAGTTAAACATAAAGGTCCCACTGAAGAACCCTGCTAGTTCCTCAGACCTAACGCTAACCAACTTGGGCTTTACTTTGGGGATAAAGTTCACGCGAAAAAGCCAATGATACTGTACCACTTGGAATTTTGCCAAACTATTTTATTGTTTAGTTAGACACTAACTATACGTAAATAAAAATTATTATAATCATGATTATTATAATCATATATAAATTATGATTCGTATACATATATTGGGTTGTCGAGAGAATATTGGCCGTTTTTTGAACTAGATGACTTTAAGGTCAGATGTATGAGGTCATGTCGGCCGCGTCGCCTAAAAGCCGAGATATGGCAATAATAGGTTGTATATATAAAATATCTATATTCAAGCTTTAAGATAGAGTACTCTGGGCAATGATTAAATTTTTGCAAAAATTCACTACATTATCATCACAATTTTTGCCCAGGCCCATAAAAAATTGTGATGTTTATTATTCATTTAATATTTATATATATAATATAATTTATAAACGGCCTATAAATGATTCTGTCGCTTTTGTTCTGGAAATTTTGATTTGAGAGATGCTCCTCGTGGTGATCGGGCAATTGCAGTTGAGCAAGACAGGTGCACGATTATCTGTGATATCGCCAAAAAGCTAAACATTCATCACCAGACAGGATGAAGCCATTTGAAGGAAGCTGGTTACGAAAAAAGGCCCGATGTTTAGGCGCCCCTCAAACAAACGCAAGATTACTCGTTGATTATATTTCTATCTGTGAAACTCTATAGAAACACAACGAAATTGACCAACTTCCGAAACAGTTAATCACATTAAGATAATAACACCGATAAAAAAAAAAAGACGAATAATGTGCTCCACAGTTTATGGCAACGTTCAGACTGACGCCCAAATATATGGCGCTATGCGTTTAGCAAAGCTGGGAAAGACCAATGCGCGATTAGTTGCTGCTGCTTCTTGGAAAACAAGTTTATGCTGTTTATAACTAAAAAAAATTGTAACAAACCATTGAGAAAATAGATCAGAGAAGGCGTCGCCTTCCACCCTGACAACGGCGGACTACATATATTTTTAGCTGCCCGGCAAAAATTTAGAGAGCACAAATATTGCGCCGTAAGACTTCCATCTCATTCAGTTTCTGCGGAATGTCTTAGTGCTGTTAATTTAGTTCCAAAGAAAAGATGCTAAAATTACCTCGTATAATTTTGTGTGTGTATGTGTAGAGACGAGCGTAAGTTTTTCTACGATAGGATTATGGTGTTATGAGGGCAATAACAGAAAACCATCGATCAAAATGGTACATATTTCGTTCAGTAATGTTACTTCAGAATATAAAGATAAATTACTTGAATTTTTATTATAAAACGATTTATGCTTTTCGACAATCCTATGTTCAATCCAAAACAGGCAATATATATATATAATTTTTCATCGATCCTTGATCATATGAAGATGCTGATATTTGTCGCTGCTTTTTTTTTTGCTGTTTCATCTCATGAATACCCAGTTAATCAGTGGCTTAGTCTGGGCGCTTTAAAGACACTGTGTACAGTATCGGGATTGAAGGTGCTTCGATGATGACAGTTCTTCATGCGAAAAGAAACTATCTCTGATATCAGTATCACTAAAATAATCGATTATCCTTTTTCTATTATTATAAGCATATACCACGACGTTTTTGCGCCGAACAATGTATTATATATTTACTGCATTGAAAATCAATTTCACTTCATCGTTTTGTCAAGGCCAGGGCTATGATATCATGCTGGACGTATACCGAATGCCAGTTCGCTGAAAGCGGCCTATACAATTACTCTTTGATAACTTTCTACGTTTCGAATTCTACGTCTAGGATCGCCGTTAAGCATTCCATCGTACTTTTTGATAACTGACGCCAGATAGGTAGCCCGATTTGTCGAATAGCAAAGTCACGATAGCTATGCAATCGTAACTAACTTTTTAGGATCATATTCGAAATCTGTAAGGTATATGCCTGGCATCGCCATCGGCATTCCTTTGGTATCGTTCGTCGAAATCGCCTTATTGGGGAACTAATAGACTATCTACGTTAATACTGTCTCTATATGTTTAACAAAGATGTGAAGATAACGCCACTCAAGGTAGAGCTTAGGCAACCCATGACATCTAGTAACAGAGAATTGTGATGTATTTGAAAGGATTGATCATTTCATCTCGTACGGCAGCAGTGAAGTATGCCAAATAGTAAGTTGGCACTTCAATATAGAGGGCCGTCATTTAATTTCTGAGCGCTTAAAGTAATAGCTTCGAAGTTGTGTTCGTTTGCGTTTGTGTTTGTTTTTAAGGCGTAATTGGCTACGAGGTGTCTATTTGAATTTATAAGAAGCAGTGAAATATTCCCTAATCCACTAGAAACTACACAAACGTTTAGCGCAATAATTTTTCATTTTTAAGACTATATAAATAGTATTGCTGATAGTTTCTGAATCAACATTATAACTTTCTCTCTGCGAACCAATTCTGTACACAGAAACCCAAAAGGGAATATGTTTAATTAGCAATAGCACATTTTTTACCGGCCTTGTTCCATATTGTTTTCCCCATTCGAAACCATCAAAAATAATAATATCGACGATATGGTTCGTTCTTGCTATCGTTTTATGCCTCTGTTTCAAAAATAACTAAATAGTGTCTTCTTACAGACTCCTAGGAAGGAGGAGGCGAAAAAACGGCAATCATACCGATTACAGAACTCAGGTTCGAGAACCGTGTCAGTACCCTTTGGCTGTACACCATCCACTACCTAGTTTCTACTACTACTACTACTACTACTACTACTACTACTACTACTACTACTACTACTACTACTACTACTACTGCTGCTGCTGCTGCTGCTGCTGCTGCTGCTGCTGCTGCTGCTAGCCAAGTTTCCATCTCGAATCGAGAAAATTAAGTTCGTGTAACTTGTAACTCATCTGGTTTATTTTTAGCTAAACGTTTTCGTATTGCAAGGAATAGTTCGTGTATATGTATCGTCGATATAAATAGACCATATCGCCACAAACGAGGTCTTTCTGAAATGAAATTTTGGTTATACTTTATAGTGAAATGTTAGATTCTTCCCTTGAAAGACCTCGTTTTGTAGAGCATATTACATTCTGGACTTTATAGCGAAGTAGAAGAGCAATCATAGGCTTTCTGGCGAGCTTCGATAAAAAATACAGTTAGCTCAAAGTCTTTAGTAAATAGACAAATGACCTTCGACTTGTACTGAACTATGGTAAATACATGAAATAAAAGTAAGGCAGACCTTAATATGGTAGGACGCTGCTTTGCGAAATTTAATCTTTTTTGAGTACGAGGAAAAACACTAGCGGTTGTTTGGAGGAGAAAGTTGATACAAGTTTTAACGAACCAACGCTGGCAATTTGACGGGGAAATATGATGTCTTAGATGAGCAGCAAAGCAAAAAATCAAAAGCCCAGTCTGACGACCGTACAACGTTAAGCGGTCGAAGACATTCAATTTTCCAATCGTACGTTAACTCGCTGCGAGCGTTATAGTCGTTGATAAACCATACGCCACTACATGTAAATTAAGTATCTTCTATTTAGGAAGATCTCTGAAAGCGTTGTTAATTCGCTAACTAACCCATTTTCAAAATTGCCCACTTCCATCCGTCATCAAGAAGATATCGCATTCATTAGTCTATTATTAGCTACTTCATTTAGAGGATACTCACATTATCTGAAATGTACTTGTATCGATCCCTAAGCATCAAGTAAAACAGCTAGCTTCAAATTGGCAATTTTAAATTTTTGGAATTTTTTATTTTTAATTTTAGAATTTTAGATTTTTTGTAGAAACGCATTTTTACTAGTTCTGCGAGAGATTGAGAACGAAAACTTACCTAACGAGTCGCTGAAACATAAATTACCTTCAATTTGGTACGTAAACGGAAGCTGAGATTGTCTCCTTTAACCAGCTTGAAGTTCAAACGTATTGATATTAATAGAGGCAGTAGAACCTTTTCCGAACAGGCATATGGTAGGTGTGAGTAAATGTGAGTAAATGAGTAAACGGGTCGGCCTCGTCTTTCTGGCGAGACGCATCATGCAGTATTTTCGATGTTGCACAAAACCGATACGGTTATCTTTTGAATTCCAAATAATGTAAGATTTACATGACCAACGGAGTACCA